ATCTTATTGCAGGAAGCATCTCTTGTTCTGTCGCCAATGTGATGTAGGCTGGATGAGTATGCTTGGAATTAGGACAAATTTTAAATTGAGCTTTTGCAATAGATATGTGTAGGTTTTTTTTAAAAGCACATTGACAAGGTCTGGTCTAAGAGTGTTTTTATAAATCTCAGTAGGCCAGTATTGCTTTTCATTCCTGGAGGGAATTCAGTCTTACTAGAAAATCTTCCTTGCCTGAGCACGCATTTCAACATATGAAGAATCATCCCACGTCAATCTTCACTGCTTTCACTCCATGGCAACACATGTAGCAGCATATCTGACGCCAGTTGTATTTGCTGATGCACTTAGTAGAAAAATAGACTTTCTTTTATTTTCCAGATGGATTCTTACAATGTGTGTGTAAGGATGGGCTGTTTTATCACACTGACTAGAGTTTGTGCATTTTGTCCAATAAAATGAGTAATAGCTGAGGCTGTATCCTTTATCAGAATTGCTGTTCAGATTCTAGATATTGTCCCTCCCACTAGTTTACCTCCCATTTTTTGTAAATATCCCATGCAAAAACAATTTATTTTTCAAAAGGAAATGATCTTCCTATTTATTTGTTCTAAAGGATTAAGATTTTTCATCACTGTTTAGAAACAGAACTATAACCTTGAGTTTTTCATAAAAGCCATTCCTTCATTCAAGGTTATGCTGACTAAATTCAACTTTGCTTCTCAGATTTGTACATTAAAGAATTGTTTCTTCCCATAGAAAAACAGTGTGAGTGTAGTCCACAGCTTTTGACACCAACTGACAGATTAACATTAGAGAAAATAACTACAGAGACTAAAGTAATATATAACTGACTGCAGAGCTAACAAGGCAGTAAATAGTCACAGGGTTAACTGCTTGAAGACTGTGTTCTGTTTCAGAGGTTTTTCTACAGATGTCTGTAAAACAAAAATGTCATGAGAATATCTAACACCTGACATACCATTCTGTATCTGCAGATCTGGTCTGGGAGTACCAGTGGGTGCCTTCCAACTCAGGATATTCTCTTACTCCCTCCACTCCACTCCACTCCACTCCACTCCACTCCACTCCACTCCACTCCACTCCACTCCACTCCACTC